CATGGACATTTCCGAATAATACGGAGTCTAATGTATATCCTGTTTGGTAAAAGTACATGTTATTTCGAGTTACAGTATATGTTGGACAAGTAAAGAAAAAGTGAAAACTATCCTCATTTGCTAGTCCACATGAGCATATCGGACTTTCTAAAATGTATCTTTCATATTTGTGAGCATTGAGGTCACTGCAGCCGAGTCGCAGGCGGGAATGAACGATTTGAGCAAAACGGCTTCCATAGTTTAGATTGAAACATATACGAGTTGGATTAATGGTCCTCAGTCGTCTTTTAAAACTGGACAGGGACTCTAATTGAGTAAGATGTTGGGGTAAGTTGTTCCATAGTTTAATAGTATCGGGTAAAAACGAGTTTTCGTAATTACTTGTTCTGCAATTAATAGTTTGAATGTTATTACGATTTCTTAAGTTGCATTGGTTTGAATCAGATACACAAGGAGGGACAAGACTGGTTAGATAGCCAGGCGTTAAGTTATTTACCATTTTGTAGAACAAAATTAATTTATTATTATTTCTTCTCATCCTTAAAGGCTGGATATTTGTTTCGTCATATAATTTGTTGTGGCTAGTTCCGCGTACCGCTCCACATATTGTTCGTATAGCATCTAGGTTTAATTTTTCTAGAAATTCAGATTGCTCTTTAGTGCAGTTGTCCCAGATGTGACCACAATAGTCAAACAAGGGTAATATATACTGTTTATACATAATTTCAAGGGTTTTACGATTAAGACGGTATTTGTATTTCCGTAAGCAATTTATCATTGGGCTTACTTTTGTCTGCGACATCGGTAATGTGTTTGCTCCAAGTGCAATCGCTCTACAGAGTAACCCCTAAATGTTTATAAAGACTACGACTTTACAGGTAACAGTATTATTCATAAAAAGTGGTTGTTTAGAGCTCGGATATTTTTTTCTAGTAAAAAGTATGGATTCTGTTTTTAATGGATTAAATGAGACTTTCCATATTTTTGCCCACGATGAAATTTTAGACAGGTCGCTGTTTAGGTAGCGAGCCGCAATTGCTGGGTCTTCGATAATGATGTATAATGAGGTGTCATCAGCAAATAAACGTATGTTACTATCTATACCATCTGTAATATCATTTATGTAGATTATGAACAGCAAGGGTCCAAGGACTGACCCCTGTGGAACCCCAGCTAACACAGCACGTTTAGATGAGTTTATAACTTGGGCCTCCTTTCACAAAGCACTAAGGTGATCGTAAGTCACTAAGGTAACCTAAGTGCAATGTTGAAGAATGGGAGTTAAGGTTAACCTTAGTAAAGGTTGCTTCGGGAAAGGAGCCCCTGGATGACAACTTTCTGTGTTCTTTCATTTAGATAGCTTCTAAACCAATTTAATACGTTGCCTTTAATACGGTAACGCTCCAGTTTATGGATTATGCCTTTATGCCATACTTTATCGAAGGCTTTACTTATGTCACAGAATACAGCTCTAATTTCTTTGCCTTGATCTAGTGTTTTTGATATAAAGTTGTAGAGAAATGTTAACTGATTAGAGGTTGAGTCGACGGGCATAAAACCTGATTGCAGGTTCGAAAGTATATGGTTGTCATTAAGAAAATTTAATAAGTATTTAAAAACGCATTTTTCAAAAACTTTAGATAAACAACTTGTTAAAGCAACTGGCCTGTAATTACTACATTCATGAATACTACCCTTCTTGTGAATTGGCACAACCGTCGCTTCCTTCCAGATTTTCGGATACTCACTATGTTTTAAAGAGATATTAAATAACTTCGCTAGAGGTTCGGATATATGATTGGATAATTTTTTTAAGAATCTGTTACTTAAGCCGTCCGGACCAGACGCTTTTGTAACATTGAGAGACAATAGAATATCCTTAACTTCATTCTTGTCAATAGATATGTCACTCAAGGATCCTGTTGGTGTTATAAAAATATCTTCTATTTCGGAATTTGGTTCGGGTACAACAGCCTGATTAGTGAAATAATTGTTTAATATATTTGCAATGTCCTGATCGTCATCATATAGTACATCATTATGAACAATATTAGGGAATGAACTTATGGATTTATTTGTTTTAAGATATTGCTTTATCAAGCGCCACCACGTTTTACTACCGCACGATGAACTGATTTTGTCGTCAATGTAATTAATATAACGGTTTTTTAGCTTTCCTTACTTCGTTTATAACTGAATTTCTTATTTGTCTGAAGGTACTGAGGCGAATTTTTCTTTTTTGCAATCTTATGTTTTCGATTGCGTTTTCTGATTAAACTGCGTATTACATTATTCATCCATGGACAGTCATTAGGGCGCATGGTAACAGTTTTATTAGGTATGCATGTATTTCTGATACTTTTAAGCACAATGAAGATTTCAGCTGCTATTTTAGAAACATCCTGGGATATAAACAGGGAATCCCAATTGATATTGTTAACTATGTCCGTAATATACGTCATATCTACGGATGAATAATCAAATATTTGTCTTTGTATGTATTACATTTCTTAAGTTTTTCTTTGATGGTAACAAATATTGGACAGTGGTCACTACATATAGGATCCAAGACTCCAGACTCTAGGATACTGTCAGTACTAGAAACAAAACTAGATCAATTAAAGTTGCTAGATGTTTGGGTTATCCTAGTAGGATCGTTGATAATTTGAGAAAGTCCATACAAAAGTTGCAGTTGTTCACATTTAAGTCTACCGTCTTTCAATATATTCATATTGAAGTCACCTACTACAATTGTATTCAGACTTAAGTCAAAAGCATCGCTATTGCTTGATTGATCATGTCCCAATATTTTTCACTTTTATCCGCTCTATACACTGTTTTAACTATATAAGTTGTTTTTTTAAGTTTAAGTTTTATCCAGATAGCTTCCAGTCCTGTTATATCTAATTTATGCATGTGTTCAACGTCAAGATTACTCTTAACGTAAATTGCAACACCCCCACCGCGACTCGGCCTGTCTTTACGGAAGATATTGAATCCTGGAAGTGTAACTTCATTATTAGATATACCACTATGTAGCCAGATCTCTGTTCTACAAATGATATCGTAATCTTCAAATTCGGCTTCTAGCATATCGGTTTTATCTTTAAGACTGCAAATATTCAAGTGAACAACTTTGAGCTGGTTTGTTAAGGGTCCTGGATTAGGATGAACATCGCCGCATATGAGTAGTAAGAGAGTGATAAATATTGACGCTTGTCTATTGTAAATGCGACGGTTGATGCATAAAAGAGGTACTTTAAGAAAGTTATAGGCAGATTTGACTTGGACGTGTAGATAAAATAAACCCACCGCTTGGCGATGCTGATTTATATCAATGGACATCTAGAATATTTGATACGGAAATTGCGGTGGGTTTAGCTGAAAAGTAATCAAAGGAAAGTCTATCATCGAGTCGACTAAGGTTTGAGTTGTACGCATATGAAACTTGCAGAAAACACATTAATATTGATATAATTTGTATATAGGCGTCGGTTGTGAAAACAAACAATACATTCTTTTGTATGAAAAGGATGGAATAATGCTACTTCTTTCTGTGTTGTTATTTTGTCAATTTCCAATTGCTACTAGAGTAAATTAAACTAAAATGAGTTTATGCATGGTGTAAATTGATAAGTGGTGATGATGGTGAGGTGCTATCAAATATATCTCGAAAAGAATTTGTGATGAGAACTACAAATAACAAAGGCATTCGAAACATGTTATTTTTCTGATAACCATGATGCACGAGCACGACTCGAACATTACTATGCGAGATGGTAGCTATCAAGATAGAACATGCAGAGTGTATGCATGGTGTAAAATTATGAGTGGTGATGATAGTGAAGTGCCATCGAATATATCTCGAAAGGAATTTGTGCTAAGAACTACAAATAACAAAGGCATTCGAAAACATGTTATTTCTCTGATAACCGTGATGCACGAGCACGACATGAACATTAATACGCGACATGGTAGCTAGCAGGGTACGTCGAGTCTTTTGGTCAAAATTCCAATTTACAAGAGTTGGATTACTGCTAAATTGAAATTTAACAGGTGGTGTCCATGGCATAGTGCTACAGTTTAATAGTTTAAAATGATAACACCACATTTAATACGTGAGTAATGAGTGGAAAAAAACAAACAATTACAATCTTTAAATTCTCAATAATTTCTGATTGTACTATATCGGACACACCCAGGTGCTCATGTGGTTATTATAACGAAGACGTTATTCACTACCTTTTTACATGTCGGAACGTAAGTCCCTATGGTCCCTAGTATGATGATCTACCTTCAGTTGTTGGCAATATATAGCCTGTTTTTACCTTGTATTGTCATCTATAGTTAAACTGTTTTAGATTTAATTACTAGTTTTAAATTCGAATCTGTGATAATCTAGTTATTTTACTGTCCTTCGTTGACAGGTTTTTATAGTTTACCATTGCTAACTATGCATAAAATTAATTGTTCTCGTCACGATATGGCTGAAATATTGCCGATGCGACGTTAAATCTTAACTCACTCACTCACTCACATGTCGGAACTATCAAAATTTAAGAACAACTGTGTATTTTTATATTCAAGGATATGATATGACACTACTTTATACGGTAACGGCGCATTGAATAACTCAACTAATTTATAATAGTGACATTCTTAACTCATTACCCCAGTTCATTTCTAAAAGTAACCGCTTCCAGTGATTAACCCATTCAACATATATATTCAGTGTAAGACAAATGTTATATAACGTGATTTTCTGCGGCAGCCCATTTCGTTGCTAGGCATAACCAACACCAGAACGAACATATTTGTTACTCAATCATATATTTGTTATGGTATTATTATTCTTTTGTTGTCATTATGTATCCAGCTATTAATTTTGAACAATGTACTGGAGCGGCGTTAATATAAGCCACTAGGCTTGATCGCCTATCCAGGTTTCTGCTTTGGCGAAATTAAAATATGTTTAAACCATTTGAAATCCAATTTTAGATAGAGATGCTCGTTTTAATTCTTGATACTGTGATATTCTAGTTGGTTTGACTGTCCTTCGTTGACAGGTTTTCATCATTTACATGTAATTATGGTCAATTTGAAGCTTGTTTTAGTCACGATATGGCTGAAATATTGCCGATGTGACTGTAAATCTTAAGTCACTCACTCCTTCGTCGTGGCGTGATGCTATTATTAGTCCCATACCTACACCTGGACGTGATCATACTGATCCCTCCAATTATAGACCAATTTCACTAACAAGCTGCGTTTGCAAAACCATGGAACGCAGGATAAATAATGGACTTGCTTGGTGCTTGGAATCCAATAAGCTAATAACAGATATTCAATGGGGTTTCCGTAAAAACAAAAGTACCATCGATCATTTAGTGCGTTTTGAATCTTTTGTAAAAAAATGCCATAATTAATCAACAACATGCAGTGTCAGGCAGTATTTTGTCTGTCATACTGTTTGCCATCAAGATCAACAGTTTATCCAAGGTTTTAAATGATTCAATCGATGGATCACTTTTTGTGGATAATTGTCCTTGTCGCGGTAAGAATGTGCATACTATTGAACGGCAACTGCAGTTGTGTTTAAACAAAATAAATAAATGGTGTCTTGAAAACGGCTTTAAATTTTCTAAATAAAAAGCAAATGGTATACATTTCTGCCGTAACTATAAACTGTTTAAAGACCCAGAACTATTTTTAAATGGCAACCCCATCATAGTTGTCAATGGGGCCAAGTTCTTATTTTCGACTCCCATTTACCGTTTTTGCCGCATATTAAAACCATTAAAGCCAAATGTCTGAAGGCACTCGATTTGTTAAAAGTGGTTTCCAATTCAAAGTGGGGAGGGGAACAAAATACCCTCCTTCACTTATATAGGTCATTGGTGAGATCAAAACTTGATTATGGCTCCATCGTAGAGCCTGCAAAAGCAACCTAAAACTATTAGATTCAGTCCACCATCAAAGTCTAAGACTTTTTGTCTTGGGTCTATTAGAACTTCTCCTGTTGACAGTCTCTATCTCGAGGCCGATGAGCCTGGAAATGTGTGTGTGTGTGTGTGTGTGTGTGTGTGTGTGTGTGTGTGTGTGTGTGTGTGTGTGTGTGTGTGTGTGTGTGTGTGTGTGTGTGTGTGTGTGTGTGTGTGTGTGTGTGTGTGTGTGTGTGTGTGTGTGTGTGTGTGAGACATAACATTTCAGTTATTCTTGAATTCTAGATGATAAAGTACTGAGTCAATAGTCATCGTAAATATTCATGGTTCGTTTTCAGATTCATATGTGATATTATGAATCTTCTTTACTTCCAATCCTACTTGCTTGACAACTAAAATGTCACCGTCTGATTCTGTGTCCTGTTTGTCCTTCTTTCTTTCACTGATCGGAGTTAAAATCTGTATCATCAGTTTATTCACATCCCCATTGTCACTGCCTCGCCTCCTCTTCTTGCAAGGTGTGACCATAGGTGAGGTCAAAAAGACTTCAGACTGCAACATAAAATGATTTCAAATGAAAAATTCATTGTTTATCTGTATCAGGGTTAGCGTGAACATTCATGCATCATATTTCATATTTCTCGGGATCGGGTGGGCAGCTCGCTGGCTTGGTTGACACATGTCATGGGTTCCCAATTGCGCAGATCGATGCTCATGCTGTTGATCACTGGATTGTCTTGCGCAGATGCGATTATTTACAGACCGCAGCCATATAGCTGGAATAGTGCGGCGTAAAACTAGACTCACTCACTCATATTTCTTAGCAATTTTTCAGGTACAAAATTCAGAAGAAGGATGGCTTGGAATTCCAGAAGAATTCATGTCTAAATGGGACTTTCCGAATTATATTGGAGCCCGTGATGGGAAACACGTTGCCATCAAGGCACCAAACAACAGTGGCTCGGTATTCTTCAATTACGAAAAGTTCTTTAGCATCATCCTTTTGGCATTAGTGGAAGCTATCTGTAGATTTATCTATGGTTCACCGGATACCGCTGTCTCAGTTGCGTTGGCAAGTATTGTCATTCACAACTTTCTTAAGAAAAGAAGTGACGCAGTGTATAACAACGAAAGTGAGATGGAAACAGGTGTATGTAAATGAACCATGTTTTAGCAATAAGGAGGTAACAGAAATGTTGCATGTGCAGGACAAGTTCGAGATGAAATTGTTGATAACTTCATTACCAATGGCAAGGGTTGACTGGCAATGGAACATGGTGTTGTTTTTATTGTTTTTTTATTGTTTTTTTTTATTTTCATGAAAAAATAAAGTCTTCCATCATAACATTCGTTACATAATGACACATACAAATACATGAATATAATCATCCAACATATCAGGCTGTGACACAGTTAAACCTCCGATATATAATGGTGTATAGGGTGTTGTGTGTAGTGCCACATCCAACTATTGTGTCTTATATCCAACCTATAATATGTGTTCCCAAAGTTACACCAGTGCCATTAACTAACTAGTCAATATATAACTAACACAAAGATAATTTTTCAAAAGGGGAAACAGATCAAAATTTTACAAAAGAAGCGGTTGCTGCATACACAGGTCAGGTTTGAATACTGGGAATAATGGATGCCATTTATTAGCAAATTTCTTCATTTTATTCTTCCTTTTGGCAATGAAGCTTTCAACAGAAAAAATATCTTTTAAAGTCTTTATAAAGTTATCGCATTTTGGAATGTTGTTTTTCAAAGAAGAGACATAGATCTGTCTTTTTTGCTGAAATGATTATATGATTAAGTAATGGATTTTTTCTTAAGGAGCCAAAATACACCAAATATTTTGTCAAATTGACTTTTTGTATCAAATAAGTGTTAATCCAAATTTGAAGATCCTTCCAAAACTTCTTAGTTTCACTACATTCCCAGTAAACATGGCACAAGTTTTCATCTTCATCTTTACAAAAGCTGCATGAGGCGCTCTGGATAAGGTTCATTTTTAAAAGTTCCTTTTTGGTATAGATAATACCGTGTAAAAAATTTATATTGGAACTCTAAGAGTTTTACATCATTAATGTCTTGTCTGTAAGACTTAAAAATCATTGGCCAATCAAAGTCAGTATCTTCAAACACATTCTCCCATTTATGACACATAAGAGGGTTATTATTGTTAAATAACAATATATCATAAAATAATCTTGATCCTTGTAATGATTTCATAAAATTATTTTGATAGGAGTTAAGATTCATGTCATAGTTATTTATACACCTGTGATTTGTTATTGTATTTTTCCATGATTCAGGTATATTATTTAGAACATATCTATGATCTAATTCTGTCCCTTTTATTGCATATTTACTTTTTAAAGATTCAAAAGACATCAAACCTTCTTCATCACACATGTCTTTGATGGTTAATAGTCCTTTATTTGCCCAATGACTGATATAATGATTTTGGTATTTAAAATTATGATTAAACCATAATGGCTGTGCTAAAATTTCATCAATGTTGTTTTCCTCTATGGTAATGTTAGTAGAATACATGTTCCATGCTTTTAAAACATCTTTCCAATATGGATTATGAATATCAGCAATATTATAGAAATTAGCACCAAATGTCATGATATCATGTAACGGAAAATTGCATGGATTACATATTGATGATTTTCTTGAATAAAGTCTCAAAGTGGATAATTTCAAGGCATTGATAAAGGTTTTTATGTCGATCATTCTTAAACCCCCATGTATATAATCTTTTTTCAAGGTACTTCTCTTAATTTTATCAGTTTTGTCAGTCCAGATGAATTTGAAAAATATTTTATCAAGGGAGGTAACAAAATCTTGGGGTGGGTTTGGTAAAGTATTGAAAATATGAACTAATTTTGACATAGCTAGTGTCTTGATAACAGTGATTTTGCCGATTAATGTGAAATGTCTTTTTCTCCACACTGCCAATAATCTGTTAATTTCCTCTAGTTTTTTCTTTGTATTGATGATCCATAGATCCTTCAGTTCAGCATTAAGTATAATTCCCAGAACATCAAATTCATTTTTTCGCCATTCAATATTCAAATCCTGACATAGTTTATCACCACAACCTGCTTTAGATCCAATCCAGATAGCTTTAGTCTTATCAATATTTATTTTTAGTCCTGACATCTTATAGAAAGTATTAATTGCATCAACAGCAGAATATAGACAATTTTCTGTACCATCTAAAAACAACTCAGTATCATCTGCATATTGTCCTAATTTATACTCTGTATCATCAATTACTATACCTTTGATATTTTCATTTGGTCTTATCATGCATCCAAGGATTTCAGCTACAAAAAGGAAAAGATATGGTGATAACGGATCCCTTTGTCTACAGCCCCGTTCATTTGAAAAGAATTCTGAAAGATGTCCATTTTGAATAACACAAGAAGTTGTATTATAAGTTAGGATATTTATCCACCTAATAATTTGGGGACCAAAACCAAACTTTTTAATACCAAATTTATAGAAGCTTTAGAGACAGTATCAAAAGCCTTTTCAAAATCGATCAAAATTAATAAACCTGGGATGTCTCTTCTTTTTGTCTCAAACATAATGTCATAGAGTAATCTTGTGTCTGATTTTCATGTATAAGAGAGTACAGGGTTGTTTTTAAACGATTAGAAATACAAGTATTTACTATTTTATACAGTGAATTCAATAAAGTTATTGGTCTCCAGTTTTTAAAAGGGTTCTGTTTTTATCTGGCTTGGATATACATGTAATAACACCTCTTTTCATTGTGAAAGACATTTGATTCTTATTAAAAATTTCTTTAATAAATGTATAGATCCAATATTTAAAGTCTTTCCAAAAATATTTAAAGAAAGCTATTGGAAATCCATCTACACCAGGGCTTTTGTTATTTTTCATATGTTTAACAGACAGTGTTATTTCTTCCATGTCAATATCTTTTTCTAATTTGTTTCTAAGATGGTCAGTTAAAGTGGGAGTTACCACATCTTGTAAACAAGTATCATCCTCATATTTCCTGCCAGAAGAGTAAAGTTTTTTGTAAAATGTTTTTACTTCATTTAAGATAGAAAAGCTGTCAGTAATTTCGTCATTGTTAT